ACAGATTTGACTTGCTGTGCTCAGGAAATCCTTCCACCTCAGCCTTGCAAGTAGCTGGAACTACAGGCGTGCACTACCATGCCCAACTAGTTTTTCTTGATTTATTGTAGAGATGGGGTCTTACCAAGTTGCCCAGGCTGGTCTCAAACCCCTGGGCTCTGACAACCCTATTGTCTCGGCCTCCCAAAGTGCTAGAATTACTGGTTTAGGCCACCGCACCCACCATGTTTGTATCCTTCACCCTCTGCAATAGATGGGTATTACCCTAAGTTCTGGGAGCCACTCTAGAAAATTAATTGAACTGAAGGAGGGGGTTGTGGAAACTGATCTATAGCAAGCTGGTCAGAAACACATGTAAAACAACCTTGGGCTTGTGATCGACACTGAAAGTGGGGCTCAGTCATGTGAGACTGAGTCCTCAACTTGTTTGATATGACACTATCTCCAGGTAGACAGCGTCAGAATTGAAGCAGACACCAGGTAGTGCCTGCTGCAGAACTGAGTGCTTGCTTGCTGGTGGGGAGAAATCTCCCACATCTGGTGTCAAAAGCGTGTTGTGAGAATATAGAAACACAGTCCCCCCCCAACTTATCTATTCTTATATTTGATTCCTCATTTGAATATGAACAGAATTTTAGATTGAAAATCATTCCCTTGTGTTTTTGTTGCTGGAAATTGTTAAGGCCGGGCGTGGTGGCTCACACCTGTAATCTCAGCACTTTCTGCGGCAGAGGTGAGAGGACTGCCTGAGCCCAGGGGTTCGAGACCAGCCTGGGCAACTTGGCGAGACCTCATCTCTACAATAAATCAAAAAATAAGCCAAGCGTGGTGGTGCATGCCTGTAGTTTCAGCTACTTGAAAGGCTGAGGAAGAAGGATTACCTGAGCCCAGCAGGTCGAGGCTGAGGTGGCCGTAAGTGTGCCACTTCACTCCAGCCTGGACAGCAGAGTGACTCTGACTAAAAAAAAAAAAAAAAAATTTAAGATCACTTCTATCCCTGGTGTTCTCAAATTTCTCAACAACCTACCCCAATGTGATGTGTTGCCAACACCTTCTCCCCTGCCCAGTTTATCATGCTGGGCACACAGTGCTTTTTTCCTAGTTCTTTACTGCTATTTAGAAAATTACCCCAAACATAGTAGCTGAAATTTGAGAAGGGTTCAGCTGGGCAGCTTTCTTTTGGGATCTCATACAGTTATAATCAGGTATTGGTTGAGGCTGTAATTACCTAAAGGGTTGACTGGGCTGAATGTCTAAGATGGATCACTTGCATGGGTGGAGGTAGTGTTGTACTGTACTCCTCAAATGTACAGCTCATGATGATACTAGAACTGTGAGGATCCTGTTGGAAGCTCTATGTCAATAGGCACAGTTTTCCAGCTGATAGGTTTCTCTGCTTTTCTTCTGGGTACCAGTTGCCAATGTTTATAGGTCTTTTCTTATGGGCCAGTTGCTCCAAAGGAATCCTTCCGCTCCTGCTTCTAGCTGTCTGGCTGAGAGAAGTGGGACTGGATTCCCACACAAATGTAGACTTTCATTCAAACCCTCTGCCCTTAGTTATGCCTCATGCTGGAGTTCATACCTGCTCTGACTCAACTGCCGCAGGTTTCCACCCAGGTAGTAGAAGAGATCTATGGTCACACTGTTCCTCACATAGACTTTCTACTAGTTCTTCCAATTTCTGTGTCTTCCTGAGCTTCACTTGGCAAGAATGGTCTCTTTCTTGTTGGCTTCACCACATATGAGAGAACCTCCCTAAAACCGAATTTATTTATAAAAAATTGTGTATTTATTCTTACATGTTTAAACTTCAAAGTACTCTCTGTTTGATGCAATACATCTATCAAGAGGCTTTTCACAATGCTCAAAAGTTTTTGAACCTGCCAATTTTCATGCCTTTTAGTGTGTCTGCCATTTTTTTGTTTCACCTCTTCCACATCAGCAAAATATTTACCTTTGAGGACTTTTTCATCCAAGGAAATACAGTTATCTAGTGGGGAAGCCTGTACTTCAGGGGCCCACTCTCCAAAAAAATAATTCTGGGTTTTTTTGGGAGGGGCCCCTCATGTGTGCATAGGTTTCAACTTTCTCTGGCTTGCTAAATTCTTCATTTATTCCCAGTCTCTATAATTTTGTTGACCTCTCTTGCTTACTGGTGTCTTTTCTCCCATTCTTTCTTTGTGGGCTTTTATGTCCTTTATTACTTTATGTCATGTGTGTAAGGTTTGGGCAGGAAATGAAGGTTAATGCACATGCTCAGTCTGCCATGTTTAACTGCAAATTTCTTTTAAAATTCTGCCATTGGGCATTTCTCCCCATGTCTCTTGAGATAGTTCCTGTCAGTCATCAATACATTGTTCCATTACACCCAATCATCAATTCTCAGTCCTTATTTTGCAGTCCCTCCAAAGCGTCTGCATAGATCACTACATCTTTGTCTTCCCTGACTCCACATTTCCTTGGTCTTCTTCCACCTCTCTGGCCACTCCTCCTCCTCTAGAGTGGAAAATGTTGGTGACCAGGGCTCATCCTAGAACTTTTTGCTATGCTCATTTCCTAGTTGATCTTGTCCAAGCTCATGATGTCAAACACCACCTAAAAGCAGATGACTCCCAAGTTTCTCTCTCTAGCTTTGTCTTCTCTCCTGAATGCCAGGCTATTCAACATTTCATTTGAATGTCTAACAAGCATCTCTGTTATAACATGTCCCCATTCTAAGTTGAAATTTCCAATCAAATCTTTGCTATTTTAGTAAATGACACTACCATATACCCTGTTGTCCAAGCCAAAAACCTAGAGCCTTCTGTGTCCAGTTTATTGAACAAGCTGGATTTGATAGTGTGCAAACATAAAGGAACATTATTTTTCCCCATGCCTGCCCCTGGAAACTTAACTGTGTGAATTCTCAGGTGTACTTTACAGTTTTGTCTCTTCCTTCTTGAATATTAAAAACAATGGGTTCAGCCGGGCTCGGTGGCTCAGCCTGTAATCCCGTGCCTTTGGGAGGCTGAGGTGAGTGGATTGCCTGAGCCCATGGGTTCAAGACCCGCCTGGGCAGGAGAGACCTCATCTCTACAATAAATCAAAAAATCAGCCGGGCGTGGTAGTGCACGCCTGTAATTCCAGCTACTCGGAAGACTGAGGCGGAAGGATTGCCGGAGCCCAGCAGGTCGAGTCTGCGGTAGAGCGGCCAGTGCACTCCAGTATGGGCGACAGAGTGAGACTCCAACTCAAAAAAACAAAACAAAACAATGGGTTATTATTTTACTTATAAAAAGACCAGTCTGTAAAATATCAAAAACTCAAACTCTTCTCCAATTGAAAACTTTCCTCCTCACTAAGCTTTTGTCAGACTAAGTCTGAGATTTCCATGTAAGCTAGAGTCCCTTATTCCTATTCTTCATTTTTCTACATGGAAGGACTTCCCTGGAGAAAAACTTCCAGCTTCTTTCTGCTCCTGGGGAAGTGGAGTGACTCATTTGATTGGTGAATTTGGGAGAACAGAGTCAATTGTGCTCAGGCTACTCTTAGTATCCTTTCTGGGGTCTGTGGGCTGACAAGGGCGTCTTCTCATAGGCACTCAGCTGCATAGTGCTTGGTCCAATTCTGTGGCTGGGAGGCCGCAGCTGTTCAGCTGGGCCAGAGACTAGGGGATATGTTTATCTGATTTAGGGGTGAAGCAGTAGATCTTGCTTTCAGATCTAAGCCTTGCCTCCAAACTAGCTTTTTATTTGTGGCAAGGCTGGTATTTTGATATGCACCATTTTACTGCTGTCTTCTTCACTTGTTCCTGAATTGGGATAGGAAGAGTTGAGTGTCCTTGTTTGTCTAAAACCCCGCTATTTATTAGGGAGAAGGTATGTGTGGGTGCTTTTTCTTCTGTTCACTTGCCCTTTCCTCCACGACTTTCCCCCTCCTGTTTGCTGTGGTTCATAACCCTTCAGGGTTAGGAATGGGGAAAGCACTTGAGAGGTGGGTGCAGAAGCGCTCATTAGCTTGGGAGCAACGGTAATTTGATGTCAGGGCTTCCCTGGGGCAGATGAAGACATGCTGGGGCCTTCTGTGGGTTTTTCATCTGCCTTAGGACCTCTGGCCAGTCTCCAGATGTCAGTCATGTTTTCTCCAGTCAGACACCCTCAACTCCCCACCCCTGCTGTCCTTGGTCACTTACTCTGCCTCTATCACTCTTCCCTTCGCAGTGGCGTTTCACTTTTAGCTTCTCCTGAGGAACACTACGCTCCCGCTCCCGGGCTCCGGCCCCTGGCCTCGTCAGCAGCTGAGGCTCTCCCGCGCTTGGCCTTGGGCTGGAAAGCAGCCCTCCCCACCCGGGCTGCCGGGCTCTTGGCCCCTGTGGTTTGTCAGGCCTTGGGGCCTCGGCCTCCCGCTCGCCGGCCCCATCTTCACCATCGAGTCTATGTGCGGCTCAGCTTTCCAGGGATGTCCCACCTCGGCCGCCCCCCCCCACCCGTCAGCTGCCCACCTCAAGGCTGCTATTTTCCCCTTCCTCACTCACCCTCCTCCCAGGCTCCCGGCGCTTCCAACAGCACGAGGGCGCCTCTCTGCCACCGGTCCTTTGCACTCGCTGCTCCCTTTAACCAAGCCTCTCTCCCCAGACTGCTCTTCCTTCTGGCCTCCGGCGGGACCCTCCTCACTAACCCCTCAGCGTTCCCCTCAAGGTGCCGTGCGCGACTCCGCACTCCGGGCTGACACCCGTTTCCTCAGGGCAAGCTGGAGATCCGGTCCTCATCCCGCAAGCACCGCCCCTTTCATTAGGCCCCACCCCCTCAGGCCCCGCCCCTAGCCGCGTGGAGCGGCCCGCTCTCCACCACTGCTGGCGCCGGGCGTGATCCAGGCTCACCCTCGCGACGTTCTGATTGGCTGCCCGGGCATCGGCTCACCTGGGCGCGCGTCTGCAGAGGCGTGCGCCTGCGCAGTGCGCCGGGCGAGGCGGGGCGGGCGGCTATCTGGTCGCTTTATCCTGCAGCATTGACAGAGGCTGAGTGGAGCAGGGCCGCGGGCATGACGGAGGGCACGTGAGTTCCCGCGTCCCGGGACCGTCTGGCGGTGTGCTGGGTGGTTACGGGTGCTGAGGAAAGGGATGTCGCAGGGCGGGGGTGCGGGTGGGC